GGGTTTAGGGTTTAGGGGGTTCGATACTGTTATGCGCGTGTGGAGTGGACATCTGTGCACCGGGTTCCTATAATTTATAAGTCTTATTGAACACGCCCGGGGCTTCATGATGTTACAGAAACGTATGGTCCTCCGGCCCCGATGGGTAAAGATCTTGAATCTAAAACTCCGACGCCGAAGCCGCAGATTCCCAAACCCTTAATGCCCCAAGCCCCCTGTCCAGAACTCCCCAAGGAGATCCTCCAATATAGGGGTTTTCAGAAGTAGAATTGGGTTTTGGGACCCATTCTACTATAATTTGTCTTAGAACCACCCCCAAAATAGTATTGGCAATTATCTAAGCCCCCACAGTAAAGACCACCAAACCCCACCCACCCCCCCCCCCCCCTGCACACACCTCGACGTTCGCCCTTGCCCCAGGCCGCTGCCGACCTTTTGAGAGTTACCAAAAGGGTGATGGCGGCTCGGCCGGTGTGGCTTTCGGAGAGCAAAACAGCTAGGGTTTAGGGTTTAGGGTTTAGGGTTTAAGGTTTAGGGTTTAGGGTTTAGGGTTTAGCGTTTAGGGTTTAGGGTTCAGGGTTTAGGGTTTAGGTTTTAGAGGCCACCACCACGACCAGTTCAAAGGGCTGGTAGGACTGGAGCTGCATCAATCCTTCCAACGCCAAGAGCATTCAACAGCCCATGTCGGAAGTCGAATTGTCGTCATCATCAGACGGACAGTGGGAAAGGTACGTCGCAATTAGACGCTCAAAGGATTTCAGCCCCAAAGCCTCAAACCTAAGCCGTCTGCCTAAACCTTTCTAGCCACGACCTTCGAACCCCTAATCCGCAGGCCTCAGCCTCGCAACCCTAAACCCTTGAACCCGGAAAAAGCCCTACGGCCCTACGTTAACCCCCACCCGAAACCGTAAACCCATAACCCTAAACCGTCTTGATCCCAGGCACCAACACCTGCACCTGCCCACTGAGTGGCTTGAAGAATGAGGCCGGAAAGATGTTTCAGGGATGTGCTGAGCGGTTCCCATCCATGTCAAAGAGGGACCCTCATTTAGAGAGCTACCCTTGTCTTGCATGCCGAAATTGTTTCCTCGTTAGGTTTCTGCAAAGTCGCGAGTGCTTTCACACCGACACCGAGCCAACAAGCTCCCCAACGAGACGGTAGAGGGGCAACTCGATTGAACGAACTTTGAGTAGTTCTCTGTTTTAGGGTCCGTTTGTAGGTCCCCAACGTAGTGCGGCACCTTTATACACCTACGGGGACCCTAATGTAGAGAACTCTCCGAACCGCCAACCCCGAAATCTGAAACCTGCAACCTTCGACCGTCAACAGAAAAGTCCTAAAGCAAGGACGGCCCAACATCAACCTCCAAACCGGATCCCCGTCACACGACATGTCTTTTCACCCTCTCTTCCTCTTCTCAACATAGAACCAAACTCTGGATGTTACGTCTGCATGCTGCAATCACGCGGGCGAGCCGCAAGGAATGCGACTACTACAGTTTTGGGGTATATTATAATCGTATTGGTAATATAGGGGCCTTATAATCGTTAGAATAGGGTTTTGGGGGTTCCTTCGCCTATTCTGATTACTGAGGCGCCTACATTAATTAAGTATTCAGGCCCCTTTCTGACTATTGTTCAGATCACCCCTTGAGACCTAGGCTTCAGGGACGCCGGGCTTTTGGGCCAGCGCTCCCAAGTAAGGGTGTAGGGCTTTTTAGGGTATGGGGTTTAAGGTTTTAGGGTTTAGGGTTCAAGGTTTGGGGTTTAGGGTTTAGGGTGAGCCTTTGTTGTGGTTTCTTCTTGGAGGCATTGTGTTCGGAGCTTCAGGATTTACAAGAAGCTCTTCTTTTCACTCCGATATGGGTCCCAGAACCCGCCCCGGAAGCAATACAGGGGCCTTAATCATTAGAATAGGGTTTGCGGGTATATTCTAGTATAATCATAGTAAGGAACCCCTAAAACCCTATTCTAATTATTAAGGCCCCTACATCATCCTGATCCGGACCTTGCCCTAATCTGCCCCTCGCCTTGCACCGACGGAAGACCCCAAAGCTCGCACTGTTGAGAGGAAGAAGCAGGTTGTCAACATAGGGGCCTAAATAATTGCCAATACTATGTTGGGGGTTCCTTATCTCTGTCTGAAGTATCTAGCATTGTATAAACTGTTATACATTCGAATTATTCTAAGGCCCCCTTACCCCACTTGAATGCCGAGCTCTAGCTGAAGCAAGCCTCCAACAGCCCCAGAACCGGAGAGCCCGAAGCGCGAGCCTGAAATCGGAGCCTACATCTCCTCCACTTGAGCAAAAAATAAGGTTAGCCGCGCCCCAGACCTTAGGGTTTTAGGGTTTAGGGGTTTAGGGGTTTTGGGGTTTAAGGGGTATAGGATTTAGGGATTTAGGGGTTTAGGGTTCAGGGATCGAGAGCCCTCTAGGCCTAAACCGGCCTAAACCCTAGGAGCCCAGAGCCACATAACTTCGAGCAGCCAAAGCATTTCGAGGCCAATACCCCTTAATTAAGGAATGTAGGGTTCAGGGCGCCTGAAAGGGATCTACAAGGGATATATAAGGGACTGAAGGAACAGACCTTAAATCATATTACTTGAGGCCTCTACAATTTAAGGTATATTCCTTAATAAAGGAAGATGCCCTTAATCATAATGTTCAGGCCCCTATAATTTTAAGGTATATTCCAAGGAATAAAGGAAGATATGCCCTCATCATAATATTCAGGCCCCTATAATTTAAGGTATATTCCCTTAATTTAAGGGGTATTGGGCTCTCTGAGAGGCTCGATGCACGGCGCTCCCATGCCCAAGTCAGGCGCCGCTGGGGGATGCTGGGGCTTTTGGGCGAAGTATCTGGTTTAGGGTTTATGGGGTTTAGGGCTTAGGGCTTACGGTTTAGGGTTTAGGGCTTAGTGTTTGGAGTTGTTAACTTCTCTTGCTTTGTGTATGGTAACTATCACTATTACTGTAACTATTACGAGTATGCTGGTGATGATTACTGTTGCTCTGATGTTGATGATTGTTATTGTTATTACAATGACTTGAAGTCTCTAACTAGGCAACTACTCTAGTCTAGCGTGTCTTGATAACAGTCAGGCCGTAGGCTTTCAGCAGTTTCGGGCTTTTGGGGTTTATGTTTCGGGTTTTAGAGTTTTTGGCTTGAGTGTTTGGGGTAGACTTCAAGTTGTTTCCATAGTTTTCAGGTTGTTCCTTAACCCTAAACCCTAAACCCTAAACCCTAAACCCTAAACCCTGCTGAGCGGTCTTTGTTCCTGCAAATGGTGACAGCAGAGGGTTTTGGCCTAAGCATTCGGAGCTTCAAATCAAGGGCTTTGGCCAACATTAGCCTAAACCCTAAACCCTAAACCCTAAACCCTAAACCCTAAACCCTAAACCCTAAACCCTAAACCCTAAACCAGGATCCGGGGCCTTCATTTAAGGAAGTGGAATTTAAACTCAAGGCCCCGAGCCCCAAACCCTTCACCCCAAAACCTAGACCCTAAGGGTTTAGGGTTTAGGGTTTACCCTAAACTCTAAACTTAAATCCGAAATCTGTTACCCGAACCAGAGCCGAACTCGATTGCAAGACCCTTCTCTATGAATTCTCACACCCTGATATAGTACAGTACAGTGTAGCATAGTACGGTATAGTATAGTGTAGTATAGTATTATAACTGTAGTACGGAGTCCATAAACCCTCAATCCTTAAACCCGAAAATCCTTCAAACTCGAACCCGAAATCCAAAACCCCATCTCTTAAACCGCGAACCCCAAACCCCAAACGCCCTAAAATCCCAGCAAAGACAGCGACTCGAAAACCCCTTCATAGGGAATGCACCTGAACGTTAGGGTTTAGGATTCAGGGTTACGGCTTACATCAAAAAATCCGGTCATGCTTTAGGGGTATCCCTTGATTAGGTGGTGGTGGTGTCTCTGGGAATCCCATGGCAGGATCATGTCCTGCTGCCCTGAGAGCGGAGCGGAGTTTGGATGAAGCATCCAAGCTTGAACTCGGCCGAGTGTCCAACCCAGGGAGTCCATGTAGGGGCCGCCCTTATGCTTCCCTAAGCTGTCTTGGCCAGGCCGGATGGTTTGAGATGCCGGGATTTAGGGTTTCAAGGTTCTGGTCTTTCCTTCCGAATACCTGTTCCATGTCAAGGTGTGCCTGGGTTAGCTCAGCTGGTTCGCAGACTGCAAGTATATATGGCATAAAGCCTAATCTCGATGAGTCATGTCACAAGTTCACTTGCCAAGGCACTAGTGATCACTAGTGAACAACTCAAAACCGATTCAAGCGTTTGTTGCTTGTAGTCTCAGCAGGGGGGGTAGTCTTGAGGCATACCAGGGTGAACAGTCTTACATTTCCACCAGGGCATCTTGTTTTTAATTGCTAGTCAGGCCTCCATGTTGAGTTGAAGGGTTCGGAGTTGTGGCTTCGGCTTTGAGTATGCAGAGCAGGTCTGTGGGGGCTATTGCTGTAGGCTGGCTTAGGATTTACGGCTCAGCGTGTAGCTGAGACATTGGACCTTTTGGGACAATTTTGTGGGTAGTTCTCTAAATTAGGGTCCCTTTTAGAGTCCTTTTAACCTTGTGCTGGCTTCCACGTACGGCACAGTCTGAGGCCTCAGGCATGCTGAGCCGACATGCTGTGGCCTTTCGCTAGCCATAGGCCCCATAGTAGTTCCTTTTTGGGGTTCATATCTAGAATTCTATAAGGTAATCCCAGAAAGGAACTACCATGGGGCCTATGGGTAGGGCGCAGATACCTTAAATGGCCCATGCATCAGCCAACGTTGCGGAACGGAAGCCCGCATGTCGTAGACCGGCATCACTCGGCCTTAAAATCATGAGCCCAGTCGCCAAAGTCACTCGAGCAGCCGAGCATGCATCACAGAATTCGCCAGCTCTCTATGTGAGCCGGCTTGTCTTTTGTCCGGGGGGATCCGGTGGATTGGCCCAAGAAATGACTCCCAGTGCGGCTTCTGCTCTCTGTGAACCTCACGTACCCCAAAGCTCCAAAGCTTCTTGTCAGGCAGGCACTACTTGGAGGTTCATGGGTAGTTGGGTTATAAGTTATAAGTATAGTTACCCCGCTTATAACCCCATTTAGAACTACCCATGAACCTCCAAGTACTCGGAGTATATATGAACGATTTTATAAGGTATCCCCAAAAGGAACTACAATGGAATATAGGTATTGTCAGGCAGGCATCACTCGGGTAGTTATCTAAATTAAGGTCCGCTTTTAAGTCCCCCAAAGAGTACGGCACCCTTATAAAAAGGGCATGAATTTGGAAAACTACCCACTCGGAGTCGGCATGCCCTCCCCCTCTGCGTTTTGTTTGGATTCCCGAGGAGCTGGGCGGCCGTAGTCCCCACGCAGCAAGGCTCTGCCACAATCACAATGAATTTATAACCTGTCTGCATAAGACACTCGTTCATTGTTACAAGATATATGTGTATCAATATATAGATGTATCTATTTATTTACTTGTTTCCTTATTTATTTATTTATTTATGTCTGTATTTATGTATTTATTTATTTGTTTTTTATATTATTATCACTAGTATATAGTGTTGTTAGACGAGAGCTTCAATCATCTTGGGGTTTATTACGGCACCATGTCGACGATTGGAATCCGCAGCTACGCACCGTGCGCTCTGCAACCTCAGTAGTTCGAATTACAAGCCAAAACCATAGGCCCCATAGTAGTTCCCTTTTTGGGGATACCCTATAGGATTCTATGTATGAACCCCAACCAGGAACTACTTTAGGGCCTATGGGTAACGCTCAGCATGCTTATGAGCCTTGCGGATTCAAGAAGTCCGGAAGACAGAATCGATACAGCCGTTATTTGCGAATGGTAGCCGCTGCAACCACAGTGAGACTCGTTGGAACTGCTTTGGAATTAAATGGTTCTAAGTATAAACCCTAAACCCTAAACCCCTAAACCCTAAAGTAGCAGCATGCTCCGGCCAATTCTCCGTTGGGTCATAGTCGTGGTAGTCGCCGCCGTCGTCTTCGTCGTCGGCGCAGTCCTACTTGGAGGTTCATGGGTAGTTATAAATGGGGTTTTGAGTAGGGTCACTGTACTTATAATAACCCATATTAGGGCACTTATAACCCCACTTATCGCTACTCCTAAACCCTAAGCCCTAAACCCTATAGTACCCCTTGAAGGAACCTTATAACTACCCATAAACCTCCAAGTAGTCCTAGACCAGCATAATGCTTTGGTGGGAGTTAGGATTAGGGGGACGCTTGGGGATATAGACCCTCTAAATAAGGTCCCTTTTAAGAGAGCCAAAAGTAGGGTTCAGAAGGGATACCCTTTAAGGGGTACCCCTAATAATACTACCTATTTGGCCCTTGTAACTGCTTTGGGACATCGTCTGCCCTGTCTCGGTCTTCCCACTGTCCTGGCACACTGTACAGCCACCCGGGCAGTTGGCAACGTTCCGTGCCTCCGGAAGGCTTCCCAGGGTTCTTGGAGGATCATGGGACTTAGTAAGTAAGGTTATAAGTCCCTTAATCGGGGTTATAAGTATAGTTACCCTAATTATAACCCTACTTACTAAGTCCCATGATCCTTTAAGTAGGATCTAAGAACTTCAGGTCCCATGAAAGCCAGGAACTAGGAGTAACCGGGGTTTTGCACAAGACTTAACGAAAGACTCCAAGCAGATCTGAGATGAGGTCAAGACCCTGGGGCGCATAAACGCTTGCACAGCGTTGTCGGGTTTACGGGTTTCGGGTGCCCATGTCTCATGCCTGTTGCTATCGGCGCTGGCAATCTGATAGGGTGCATTGATGTCTCGTGTGGAATGATACGTAGTGCAGTTGGAGTATCAGCATCTTTCAGCAGTCAACCTTGCATACATCCAGCCCTGTGGGCCTAAACCCTCACTCCTAAAGGCCTACCTATAGTCTCCATCGTAGTTCCTTTTGGGGGATACCTTATAAATTCGTTAATATGTATTTGGTTAAACCAAGAAAAGGAACTACAATGGAGACTACAGGTAGGACCCAAGTCCTAAACCCTTAAACTCCAAAGCCCCCAAACAAACCCTGACCGGCCTCAACTTCGAGCGAAATATCTGAGAAATGAATTTCCGAGCCCCACATCCTTGTACCAAGGTTTAGGGGTTTAGAGTTTAGGACTTCAATCCACAAGCCCTCGGAAGTAGGGCTGTCTGGGGCTGCCGGAAGCGTGGTAGGCGTTGCAAAAGCAGGTCAGGTACCTGATCCGGACCTGCTGCGCTATAGGACCAGCTCGAGAGATCTTCTCTGGTTTGTTCTGGGGTTTGAGGAAGTCTTAGTAGCTGAGTAGGTAACCTTTAAGCTTTCGGGGTGTACATGACCCTACCATTATTGAAAAGTTGTGACAGGGTCTCCTATCGGGGCCTGTTCGGGCCGGAGGTTTTTTCTTGAGGGTCTTTAGGGGCTTGGATTAGGGTTTAGGGTTTAGAGTTTAGGGTTTAGGGTTTAGGGTTTAGGGTTTAGAGTTTGGGCAAAACTGGGCACTTTCCAGGGGAAGAGCCCCCAGCCCAAAGCCTGCGACTACTTGGTTTATGGGCTTCCCTCACCCTAAACCCCAAACCCTAAACCCTAAACCCTAAACCCTAAACCCTACCCTAAACCCTAAACCCTAAACCCTAAACCCTAAACCCTCACCCTAAGCCCTACAAACCCGCAGAGAACCTCCAGGAGGTCTCTCTGTTAGGCGAGTTGTACCATGTAGAGTTCCAGCCAGGAACGGTCTGGCTGTGTGCGACCGACAACGACAGCTCATGGTCCGGTCGCTCGAAACTTCAGAGACTTGAAATTTGGGGCACTTGTTTACAAAGCCTATAGGGTATATGGGGCTTAACTAGCTTTATTGGGGATTTTTGCTTTACAAAGTCTACAGAATAGATGGGGCTTGACTAGTTTAGTTTGGATTTTGTTTTACAAGGTCTATAGCGTATATGGGGCTTGACTAGTTTAATTTGGGATTCTTGTTTTACAAAGTCTACAGGGTATATGGGGCCTGACTAGTTTGGAGCTTTGAGCAAATATTCAGCTTGAGAAGCGCGCTGCCTTAACTCATTCCTGTGTCTTTCCATTAAACTCCAACCCCAGGCAAAGGAGCTCGAACACCGTTTAGGGTTTAGGGTTTAGGGTTTAGGGTTTGGGGTTTAGGGTGTAGGGTTTAGGGTCCTCAAGTTTATTATAGTGCTCCTGGCACCTCTTCTGTAGCCGCAATGTTCAAGCGCTTCATATGCAGCAAGCTCTGTTTTCAGTCCTTTCCATCTAAGAACCCTGAGGGTCCATGTGCCCAAATAGTAGATCTTTGGCCCCAAAGTACCCATTTAGGGACTCTTTTCAGGCCAAAGTACCGATAGTCTCCATTGCAGTTCCTTTTTGGGGATACATTATAAACTCGTTAATGTATAGTTTGTTAATTCCAAAAAAAGAACTACAATGGAGACTATAGGTATTTGGGTACATGGAGCCCTAAGGGAGGGCCTGGCTGCCCAACAGCTGTCATATCGCGGGAAGGAGCTGCTCCAGGCGCTTAGAATTCTTTTTGCTAACAGGTGAACTCGGAGCCCGAAACCTAAGCGCAACATCCATCATTGAGCTTTTGGGGTATATGGTGGCATGGCGGGAAAGGACATTTCAAGAGGGTTCCATACTTCGCAGCAGCGGCAAACAACTGATCTCCGACGATGAGTATGTGGTTGGTGGAATTTGATCGCGTGCCCGCATGGGCGTACAACTTGCTGGTGGCGGCCGGACGGAGTTTTACATTCAGAACAGCTTAAGGCTCGACTGTCGGGGTCAGAATGGACGGGTCAGAAACCATGCCAAGGTGTCTGAAAGGTGCTCCTTTTGTAGAATAGTATGTGCTGCTTGTGCAGTTTCACCGCAGAGCATCCGCACCCAGCACAACCAAGCTCGCTAGGACAAGCAACTTAATATAGGAGCC